ACATAATTTCACAAATCTAGTTTTTGTGACATCATCACTTCCCTTCTCTATTTCCTCCTTTTTACCCCACATTTGAGATTTGAATCAATTTTTTGTTCCTAAGAGGGTATGAAAAATTGGGATTCCATTGATGCCAAATGGCTTGCCTCATGCCGCTTGGAATTTCTTATGTTTGTACATTGAATTAGAATTTTTTTAAGTGATTTGCATTGCCCCACAAGCCTTTGTGCTAAAATCCTGCAGAAGGTAAATAAAGGTTTAATCATTTTATTGTTCTCTGTTTTTAATCAGATGACTATGGATGACAAGTATGTGGAAGATATTTGGAATTTATTGAAGAATGCGATTCAGGAAATCCAGAAAAAGAACAACAGTGGCCTGAGTTTTGAAGAACTGTATAGGTAAAACGATTATCTCGACTTTACTTGTAGTTACACATGTGTACAGTAAGCATGGTGTTTGGGTGACTAGAAAATCTTTACATACTGTCTTGTAGTATACTGCAAGTACATGGAAGTGCTGTTATGTAAGTTCTAATCAAAAGCAGGCTTTTTTTTCTCACCTGTTATTGATTTGTTTGGGTAGGAATGCTTACACTATGGTTCTACACAAGCATGGAGAAAGATTATACTCTGGGCTCAAGCAGGTTGTTACAGATCATCTCATAGAAAAGGTATGGTATCTTCCTTCTGCGGTTAATGTTTTTCTTGCCAGCTGAGATTGTGAAAGTGGCATGAAATGAATTTTTCTCTGAATGGAACCTTTTTCCTGTAAGTGCTATTGCTTCATCTTGTGGCAGACAAATGGGATTCAGTTTGTGACAATGTGTTTATTTGGGTGTTTTTCTCTTCAGTCATGTTTTCTCATTTTTGTTTTTTTCTTGTAAGATTCGCAAAGATGTCGTGGCTTCACTCAATAACAATTTCTTGGATACATTGAATGCGGCTTGGAATGATCACCAGACATCTATGGTGATGATCAGAGATATTCTTATGTACATGGTAGGTCATTGCTCTTAAGAAAGTACTTCATAAAGATCAGGGTTTGCAAATACGCCAAATTTGGTGTATTTTACACCAGAATTGTTCAGATGATTTCACATAGGTTATGGAGGGAGTCACTTCGACTCCAGAAATTTTCGGTGACAAACAGAGAGCCACTTCGACTCCAGAAATTTTCGGCAACAAACACAGTTTTGTCCTTACCCTTTTTGCAACAAATACAATTTACGTTAATTGTAAATGTTGTAAACCTTAATTAAATCATCAAAATTAAAGAATTATACTGCACGACAAAACAGGAAGAGGGTAAATTACGATCAAAGTTTACTCTATGACCACCATCCTGGATTTGAGCTTTCCAGGTCAGTGGACCACCACAGCTACTTTTTGTATCCCTCAGGATAGTGTATACATGCCAGGACCACATAATGGAAAGTCGGAAAGTGGCTTTTTTTCGTTGTGATACTTGACTCCAAATATTCCAAAATGACTCCAAAATTTGTGAAGTAGAAGTCATGGTGACTCCACTCATCAATAAAATTTGCAAACCCTGAAGATGGTTGCAATTGTTCACTCTGCAGTGTTAGAGAAACTTTATTCTAAAGGGTTTTGTTAATGGTTTGTCTAGCGATAGCCACTTAATTATTGATCATGATGTTTCATCCGTGTAGTGCAGGTCTTCATTAGGCGATTGTCTTCATTTATTGAGTGAGACTGTTAGTACTGCCATGATATTTTATTCTTTCCTCTAATAATGCCAACAATGCTGCAGATCAAATCCACCTACCACGAATGAGGTTCGTGATAACACCACGCACTGACAACCACCTAAGAGAATATAGTGAGACAAACCAGGAACAAAATCCTTGACCAGGCTCTACCATGTTAAAGTATATGTACTCTAGCAGCACTTGGCATGGTAGCTACTGGCAACTTACTCTTGCCCTTGGGTAACTAGGATATCTTACAATGTAGTTTTTGCATTCATCTCGTGCTGTGCGCCCTAGATTTCATGGGTTCAGAACAGTGGGCTTCATGAAATTTGTCTTAGAGTACTGCCTTTGTAAAGCTAAAGTGCTCTAGTTTGAATGGTGACACTATATGATTTACATTAATGTATCTGCAAACTCGCAAGTTAGAAAAATGTTTCTGGTCTTCTAAATAGCTTTGAGAGTAAAATGAGTAAGAGCTGATCTCCCCACTTATTGCTTATTACAGGATTATCTATCTTTTTTTTCAGGATAGAGTGTATGTTCAACAAAATGGTGTTGATAATGTTTACAACTTAGGCTTAATCCTCTTCAGGGACCTGGTTAGTTTCTTGTTGATCTAATTCCTGATAGATTTTTAAAATATTTTGTTAGTTCGTGGTGGTTTCTGTTTCCAATTTAATTGTCTGCTTGAAAAAGTATCATTATTTCATTGCTTGTTTGTTTCCTGTTAAAGGTTGTACGGTATGGTAATATAAGAGATCATCTTTGTCAAACACTGCTAACACTGGTGAGAAGAGAGCGTAAAGGAGAAGTTGTGGATAGGTACAGTGTACCCTATTATATTACCAGCGTATGGTAGTCTCATACAAAAATGCTGTAAACTGCTGCTTATAAGCTCTGGGCTTGTGCATCTTGATAAGGGGTTTTAAGAGGGCCTATAAATGAAGGGGCTTATATCTGTGAGGGCCTATAAATGGAGGGACTTATATGTGTGAGGGCCTATAAATGGAGGAACTTATACATGCATCTGAGGGGGCCTATAAACGGAGGGACTTATATCTGAGGGGGCCTATAAATGGAGGGACTTATATCTGCAAGGGCCTACAACAGGAATAGAAAAAACATTTAAAACATGCTATAGCAGTGCTGATCAAAATACAATTTGCATTAACCTGGTTTTTATCAAGCTGCCAAATTTCATTTCAATACATTTGGAACAGAAGCTATGTGGGGGGGGGGGGGGGGGGGG